GTGACATGTGCTTAAGATAGATGGATTTTCTCACCGGAGAAAATGTAACACATAACAAAAGACTTGCATCAATAAGTGTCATGGTATACTTTATATAACTGATTGAGCCGTTGGTCAAATACTGTAATGCTTAATTTATTAATAAAATTATCTATCGTTTTCGGAAAAAAAAAAAAAAAAAAAGCCAAGCTGCCCTGCTATCCTTTCTGCAGTACTAGTACCTCATAATATGATCAATAAAATCATGGACACTGATCCACATGCCTCTCTGTTAAGTAGGTGTATATAGGTGTCAGTCAAATGTATGTGTTTATGGTTTGATATGGGCCCATTCTTGGGAAATTATAGAGTCAGATGAATGCCAACTGAAATGGGAGCTGTGGGATTTGAAGTCTTTTGAGTGTTGTGGTTATGAAGATATTGACCAATCAAAGCCAATAGAAGGCCACACCATACTCTTTACAATTTTGAGGCACAAACGAAGCCATGTTATCATTGTTGTAGTTAAGTATAACTTGTGTACGTGTCAGAAAGCTTGTGAATAATACACCAACTAATATTAATGTGCACATATGCAAAAGTTGAAAATTATGAAGTCTTGTTTATTAGAAATTTAATGACTTGGCCTAGTTGAGCCTTGGATGGCGAGCACCTGTGACTTGGCACTACTTTGTTGGTGAATCGCTAATAACACTACATAATAATAAATAGGCACTAAATCACCAAAATACAAACACCAGATTAGAAGTTCGTATATCGTTTATCAGTGTTTAGATATGTTATTTTTTAGTGTCTATATCTATTACGTTAATGCGTGCACTTTACCGTGCGTTACCATTACTAAATCGGTTGAGTTTCGGTATATATGTTGAGAGGGATATATACACAGCGAGAGGAGGAAAATAGAAGAGGGAAAAAGGGCACAGATGCACAGTGGCTTTAAGGTCACAAAACTCAACCCAACTGCTGAGACTAGAAATGAAGGCCAATAACTTGTATTGAATGATCTATCCGAGAGCAGTCTGTTAGTTGCTCAGTAAAAATCTATGTACTTTTAAGGTAACATCTCTTTTTTGGAGTATATGTCACAGTCGCCATGAAACTAATTACTATAAAGAAAGAGACTAGATTCAATCAGCTAAGGTTGATCCAATAAATATGTCAGGGTCCAGTCTAAACTGATAGGAGTGTAGTTTTCAGGTTTCCAACAAACATATGAACATGTCATTTATTGGGTTGAGAAAAATGAAAGGTGGAAAGGTGCAACAAGCCATAATAAAAGATTCCCTTATATAGAACAGGTTTCCCTCCATAAATACAAAATACACTACCTCTCTGCCAACAGCTTATGACTCAAGGCCCTACTGGTTGAATGGATGAAACTCATCATACATGGGGAAGAAGGCAAATGTACATCATTGGAGTGAAGAAAAGATGAAAGAATATGAATCTTAGTCTTGGTCCATTATTTTATTCCTTCAAGAAAATCTACTTTACCTGCATTTGTTTGCACCAGATTTCCTGGTGATCCAGTCTTTGGTGTCATAAAAAATACAAAGTTTTCTCTAAATTCAAGGTTGATCTTTGCTGTATTTGTGCAACGTTTACCAAGTCCCAATAAGCTTCTTCGTGAAAATATTACTTGCTACTATTGCTAGATTCAGTCTAGGAAGTATAATTCTTAAATCAAATCGCTAGTTGAAGTCACTGAGATTCATGATTTCATGTAAAACGAGTGGTATTTCATGGCAAAGAAGAAGAAGAGCTGGTTCAATCTACTGAGGAGAATTTTCATTGCAGATACAAAATCAAGAAAGGTAAATAATGAGTTCAACTGCTTCTTTTATTTGCAGAATGTTGCATACATCTCAGAAGGTGCTTAATTACAATATTCACAGAAGGATGAAAAAAAAGGATGGGCATTTGGAGGATTTAAGAGCAAAAGATTAGCCTCTCTATCAGCACCACCACCTCCAAAGAAGAGCATACTAGGTGCACCTGAAGAAGAGAAGCAGAATTATGCAGAAAATGGAACCATTAACACTACGGCTGCAGAAATCTCTCGTACTAATACTCGAGATTTCAGGCCCGGTGTCAGCCCTCGATTGTCCACTCAAGACAAGAAAGAATCCCATGAAGTTTCAGCAACCAATGTCTTTAGCCCTGCTTCACAATCTCATCAATGCCAATTGCAGATCCAACATCTTGCAGCTATCAAAATTCAATCAGCATTTCGCGGATATCTAGTGAGTTTTGTCAAACTTCTCTTTTCAAACTTCTCCACTCTGTTTCTGTATCTGCAAATCCAACTGCAGCACTCTTATCAAACTTCCCATATCAAAAGTGAAATCACAAGGAACCTGCAAATTACTAGTGAAACACCAAATTAAATTGGGCAACAAGAATTATCCGAGTATCAGTTGAAACATTTGAACTCATTTTAGATGGATGATCATTTTCTTTCTTTCTGACATAACTGTTTGGATTTTGCAGGCTAGAAAAGCTTTACGTGCACTGAAGGGACTAGTAAGGCTTCAGGCGATAATTCGCGGTTGGGCAGTTCGACGCCAAGCCATTAATACCCTCAAGTGTTTGCAAAGCATAGTGAACATTCAGTCAGAGTTTCGTGCCAAGAGATGTGATATGGTGAAGACCACTCAGCATAATCAAGAAAACCAGGTGCAGGACATGACAGAGAAGGACATAAGGGTAAGTTAACGGTGAATTTAGCTCTTCTTATGTTTCATTCCTTCGTGTTGACAAATAATCCAAAAGCCAATTGGCCTTCCTCCTTTCATTTTCTCCTACTGTACTTTTGACAATACTGGGGCTTTATCTCATTAATAACGTAAAGGTTCAAACTTTTGCCTGATTTGCTGTAATTTATAGTTAACAGTGGATCCAATTTGATGGAAATGTTCTTTTGGTGTAAAATCAATCAATAACCTCGCCAAAGTGATACTGTGCTTGACTGGGTATCAGCAGAAACTTAAGAGTCAAAAAGAAATTTCTCTAGGTTTCACAATATATATGAACTGTTGAACATATAGTTGAGTAAATCCACAAAGTTCCATAACATTTAGTTTGCTTTCAATAGTTCACTAGATCAAGTATCATCGTCCTTAGCATTTCCTCATCCATCTACTTACGCTACTCAACCTGAACTAGAAAAATGAAAGAACAGATTTATCTATTGAGTTTGAGTTTTAATTTATCCTAAGAAACTTTCTTCTTGTTCCAAGTAACTAAATTATTTTCGTCCCCAAATCTTAGTTATTTTCTTGATATCTGCAGATTGATACAAATAGCCAGAGAACGTGGGATGATAGTACTTTGTCGAGGGATGAAGCAAATGCATCGTCCATGAACAAGAGGGTGGCTTCAATCAGGAGAGAAAGAATAAAGGAATACTGGTTAAATCATCGGGTTAGTTACTAAAACTTTGAATCCTGAAATCTTAAAAGTGTAGCTTAATTCTACCGGCACCAGATAGCATAGCATCACTGACATGATACTGTCTATATTCAGAGGTCCACTGAGTCAGAACAAAGCAAGCAAAATGTAAAACAGAGATACTGGCTAGAACAATGGATGGATTCCCAGTTAGCTAAAAGAGAAGATCTTCGCAATATAGGAACAGCGTTCCCGGTAAATGCAAAGGCCAAAGAGGAACTAGCTGGCAGAAGACTCAGACTAAGAATTCAGAAACAATATCAGATTGAAGGATTGGATTCTCCTCTAAATGTTCCAAGAAGATCATTTCACAGGAGGCAACGTTCCAACGGAGATGAGGACTCTTTTGTAGGCTCTCCTTCTGTTCCAACATACATGGCAGCCACAGAATCTGCTAAGGCAAAAGTTAGATCAATGAGCTCACCCAGGCTAAGACCAATCTGTTTTGATGCTTACTCTGAGATCAATTCTCCATATAAGCATAAACTCTCTCCCATATCTTCCATTAATAGTGAGGCTACAAGCTGCAGTCAGATCAGCAAACACTATGGTTTCTCCCAAAGATCTCCATGCTTGAAAGGTATACCTGGTCCAATCAAGTCACATAGAAGTCTGAAGGAGTTCAACTTGATTGTAGAGAGTAATAAAGATCAACTGAATGCCTATGGATGATTCAATTATGCCATCCAACTCTATGCTAGAAGTCTAAGAACCTCAGCTTTATTGCAGAGAGCTTATTGCGGGTTTCAGCTCTTTTGCTTTGACAAGGAATTGAGCTTGTATTGCAGATGTACTTGAATGCCAAAATGACACATGAAAGGAGATAGGAATATTCGAATGAAACTCCATAGTTTTTAAGTTGTATTCAATTAAAACCAATGTTACATGATTACCAGATTCCCTATTCACATACTATTTCCAATCTCGAATTGTTATCCACAGAAACACAGGAATCAGGCCAGTTGTGTCACTCTTTTCCAGCTCACCCATACCTAAAGCCTGGTCCTTAGCACGGGAGAAATTTGATCTTTGGGAAAAGTAAATGTCATTGGTGACCATTTGGAGCCTTTATCTCGTTACTTTATGCACCAAAAATTGAAATAGATTCAGGTCTTTAAAATTTCTGTAGAAAATGGCAAATGTTAGATTATAGAATCAAATAAAAGAATAATAAGACTATTTTTTTATGGTCATGAAACTATCTAGTGTAACCATTGGAATACGATCGAATTAAGAATTTGCAAGAATAGGCGAAATCATGGATATGGATCTCATGATTGATAGGCAGAAAAACTCCTGAGGCAGCAGACACAACCCACGTATGAAACAGAACACAGGAATAGTTTTCTGGCTTCAGCATTATTATAAGCCTGTAAATATAAAATTAAGTCATTCTGTCGCTCATGGCCTGGTGAATGAGAAACCAACGTGCTCTGCTGATATGCTCTCTGCCAGACACAAAATACTCCTGGTTCAAAGAAGAATTTCCTGTGCCTATTACGGATGAGATTCTGATATATGCCAAATAGTACGAAAGACATTCTTGACTCTCAACAGACTTCTTTCTTTTGGCCCATATAGATAACTTTACTCCATATCCAGGATAAGAAAGCACCACCATCTACAAATTCACAAGTCCAGATAAAGGATGTATGACAATCTACAGATTTGTAATAATATTGAAAAGAGCAGTACAACCTGTCTTTCATCAATTTCAAAATACTAAACATCAAGCTACAACTTCCTGAACTTCCTGAACTAAACATCGAGCTACAACTTACACCCCTAGGAAATTTTGCTTACCGTGGTTACAGTTCAGCAAATAATTGCCATTTCCAGTTCCAGCTGCAATTAGCTCAATCACTTCCTGAGCACCTATAAGTTAATTTGTATCTGATAATTCTACAAAATTACAACCTTTAGCAAGCTATATTGAAGGCAAAACAGTTGAACTATTACACCAAATGGATGCTTGATTTTGTGTCAAAATTCATCTTCTTCACAAGCTTCTGCTGCAGCTATCTCGGAATCCAACTTATTTATCAGCTGCTCACTTAAATGTTTAGAAACAGAGATCATGTCAAGTATGACAGATGGATTTAGGCCTGCACCCCCTCGCTTTGTCAGCCCACATATGCGCCCTTGCCTATTCACAGAAACAGAGACAGCTGAGCTCATCTGAGATTCTTCTTCCGAAGTTCCATCCACGATGTAGTGCTTACCAACCTGCAAAATTTACCGTGGAAGATATTTGAATTACAGATAATGTTATAATTTGGATAACTAGTACCTGAAAATATTATTCTTTCACCTTTGTCAGAGTTATAATGGCAGGAATTCCACTGGTGTCAAATTGCAAAAATTCTTCATCACTCAAATCAACCTCTGGCTGCTCATCAGAGGCAGCTGAAGCCACTTGGACTTTTGGAAGAGCTGTATTGCTCAGAGCAGCCTAAAAATCAATTATTTTAATGAAAATCAAACTTCATGAAAAGATGTAGTCATCAAACAGGTCTAATCGATTTAATCTAGGATTTCAAAAGCAGTGTCTAAGCTTCTTTCTTGCCACCAAGCATTGATTAATCCGCATTGGTAAACAAAGTCAAAAGCTGCAGTCACCAGTCAATTCATCATTGCCAAAAAACTATATATATATATAGACCTTTGAACTGCAGTTCATTAATCAAATAAATCAAATGTATAAATGCACCTTGACTGCAGCGCCCAAGGCATCTAACAGATTCCCATCTGAACTTACAACAAGACCTTCTATATAAAGATCCCAACAGATTTTCCCCTCAACGATAGAAAGAGATGAGAGATCTATTCCAGCCCCTGAAAAAGCAAAGAAAATTAAGAGCCCCATATTAATTAAACAAGACAGAGTACCTCAGCAAATTGCATCCCTTGATGGACTGATCTTGCTTCTTAGCATGTTTACCTGCTCCACTTTTACCACCCAAGAGACAGCGCTGAAGAGCAACTGAGAGTTCTGACGACAGCTCTTCCCCTCCTCTACCCTACATGAAAGAAGATCATAAAGAAAACTGCTAACAATCCAAATGGAGGATAAATTAAGTATCTACCATATGGCATTCAGCACAGCTATTATGTTAATGCAAAGAAATTCCAGTGTTTCTGCTCACTATCGAAAGACACAGTCACCTACTTAAACTAGTAAACCTAGCTGTGCATTGCTTACAAGCAGGCAAGTAAACACACAAATAGATGGCATCACTACCATTCATTGTCAATTTAAACATACAAAGGAAGTAAACCAGGGCTTCACTACCCTTCATTGTTAACCGCAAGATTCATAGAACAAGAAGAAATACCTAGTAGTGTTAAATGCAATCATAAGCTCAAAAACAGGAAATGAAGTTTCAGTTACATCCAAGAGTTTCAAGACAAGATAACCAACCTAAAGATTCATGATACAATAACAAAATGCGAAAAAATTTTATGTTTGCACAAAAAGCTAAAAAAAAAAACATTTTGTTTCAACTTTCTGCAGGATCTCCATGTTGCTTTTATAGTGCTCATAGTTATTATCCGCTATATTTGTCATATCTGTCTGTTATTAAAAAGAAAAAATGTTTACTCAGAACTACAAAGAATACATGAATATCACCTCAAATGCTGGCTCAGCCGTGGGACTGCAATCCACGTTGATTAATACCTTCCCTTTATCCGGATAAGATGGGCTCGGCTTTCCAAGTTCAGCCTAGAATTACACATTGACAACTCACATAAAATCCCAACATCACCACCCAAAATGTACAATTCAAAAATCCCAAACACATACAAAACAGAACCAGTACTTAAACCCAAAAAAAAAAAAAAAAAAAATATTCCACCTTAGCACTCGCGATAACATCGGTGGCACCAAGCTTAACTCTAGCTGAACCATTAGCCTATAGTAAAAGAAAACCCAAACTTAAAACACAAAATTTAGCTCCAAAAAAGAATTTCTAAGATTATGTTAGGGAAAAAAAACAAAGTAAAATGAATGGAAAAACCCTTACCTGAGGGATGACACCTGTTTCAATGTAAATGGGCCGATAAGTGTAGCGTTTTCGGCCGTCAGTACGGAGGTCCTGTTCAATGCCTCCCTTGATAAAATGCTTTTCTCCAACGGAAAGTCCCACCATTGCTGCAAAAACATGTTAAAAATGAGAATATTACGGATAAAGAAGCTTAATTTGGTAGAGGGGCGTGGAAATTGTACCGTCAATGGCCGGAGGAGTGGTGAAGAGGGCTTTTGCCGGTGACCGGAGAGTGAGAGACAGAGGATTGTAGAGATTTTGGGAAATTAGGGCTCCCTGGGGTTTTTGGGTTATATTTGTAAAATTGCATGGACCGGGCACCGGGTCTATTATGTGGGGCAAAATTGAACCGGTCGAGTTGAGTGGAGCAATATTTAATAAGGGAAATGGCATATTTAGTCCTTTTACTTTTCAATTAAAGGCACGTTTAGTCCTCAAACTACTTACTCGACCTTAATCGGTTCTTACACCCATAATTTGGTGAAAGTTAAGCCCTTCTGTGGCTTTTCACTAGAGGTGGCAAAATGGGTGATTTGGGCGGGTTTGGGTTGGGTAAAATGGGTAATGGGTATAAGTGAGTCAACCCATTTATATCCATTTAATTAGATGGGTATAAATGGGTAAGTCAAAAAATGAGTTGGGTAACCCAATTATCCATTTATAACCCATTTATTCTAATTGTTTACAAGCTCATATAAATTCATTTTGTAAACTAAATTATCAATTTATACCATTTTACACCCATCATTAATTTTAAATATTTACTTATTATGCCAAATAAGTCTAATTATAAATTTTTTTTCCTTCCGCGTGCCATGTTGCAAAATTACATATTATTTAATAATTAAACAATGAGAATCTAAAAATTTGGACTAAATAATATGAAAGTTAACAAAACAATTTAATCCAAAACTTTGAACCCCTAGTCTTTTTTCGTTTATAAATTTAAAATTTCATTTGAAAAGGTAAGAAAGGAAGCTAAAATTTGTCATAAATTGATGATGCTAAAAAATGATCAAATTAATAAATTACAAGGAAATAAAGCGATAAGATAAAACCAACAAATAAAACAAAAATACTTAACATAAAAAATAGTTAAAAATCCTTATGAAGACTAGCAATCACTTCATTTAGCATACAAATAAAGACAAATTTTCAATAAATACGAAATTTAGAAGTATCTTACCAAATAGAGAAGAAACTGAAAATCAAAACCGGTAAACATACGGAGCTTCGTAAGAGAATTGCGCAACTAAAATTTCGTCGCATTTGTTTCACCAGCTGATCATGATTTCAAAGTCTCAAGTTCTCCTCTCTCTTATTAGCTCTCTGCTTCCTTCTTAAAAGAAGGGGGAATGTAAGTTAAATGGGTTAAATGGGTTAGATGGGTTACCCAATTAAACCCATTTAATAAATGGATATAATTGGGTAACCCATTTATATCCATATATAAAAATTTAATGCACCCATATCCAATTATTAATGGACGGGTATGGGTAAAATTAATTAAATGGTTTTATTTGACACCTCTACTTTCCACTAAAAAAAATGTGCCAATGGCAAATCTTTAGATTGCAATTTTCTTTTCTTTTTCTAGAAGTTTATGAATTGTTTTTGATTTAAAGTGTTTATGGTGAAATGTATTTGTCTTTTTCGAGGTTGCAAGTAATTTGTAAGATTGAGATACGAACACTAAATGCCCTCAGGCGAGATCCCTTCTTGTTATGAGAACCTAGAGTTCATAGAAATAAGTGTGATAAATAATTAACGATTTATATCAGGTCACGTCTCAAGTAGCATGATCTAAACTGTCTTTAAATTGTAAAGAAGAAAAGCAAATTAACTCCAAAATTTGAGATGCAATCCATTTGGACAGCAAGACTTGCCTCTAGGGGTTACAGTTAAGGCATCAAATCTAGATAATTAGCAGTTTAGATTAGGTGATTTCTTATGCGGTATGACTAGAACTGTTGCTTTAAAATATTAGAGTAAAAGGGGTAAAGCTCTAAAATGAGACGATCCTGAGCCCGAGCAGAGAATTGCCTCCTGAAGTTGCAGTTAAGGTATCGAATCTTGCGTCAGTAGCTAATCTGAGTAACAGTTAGGAATAGTTAAATTGATTATTGACCTCCACATAGGTTAGTCACTATTATAGGACCTCCCTTGATATTTAGAAAGTAGATGTCCTATCAATTCAAATACTTTGTGATTTTGCAGCTTTTTGGACTCAACAGTAACTAGAGGAGAAGAGGGATTACCTCCTGTAAACTCATTCCCACGTGCAGTAATTGACTGTATCTATGGGGTAAAATTGTACATTAATTACAACGATGCGTACACTCGTTAATCACAATTGGACACTTGACTTTCCTTTTCACCTTTATGTAACAAGTTTATTTTGAATTTTGAAATTTTGGGCCAATCTTAGCCCCGAATCAATATCTGATTTTTCAAAGATGCTTATTTTTTTGGGCCAATCTTGGCCCATTCATTATTATTTTAACTAAGGTGGCAAAAGAAAGATTGACAACTGCAGACCGGGTATATCAATGGATCGGATCTTATCCAAATCCAACCCAGATTCAATATACTTGAGTAGGGTTTGGATTTAATTTCTTAAATTCAAACTCTACCCAGACCCTATAAGAGAGTCAAGGATTTGGGTAGGATCTGATTTTCTATGATCCATATCCAAATTCAAATTCATACCAGACATATCCAAACTCATGTGTGTGTGTATATATATACATACATAAAATTTAGCTTGTGCATTAACACAATATAAATTTTATTTGTGATTATTTATGAATTGATGCAAGCCATAAATAATTAATTAATATGTTAATGTATTATTCATGTTTACATGCATATTAGTCTTTAGGAACTTTTATTCGTAAACTTATTACAATGTTATAATATTTATTAATTAATATAAAACATAGAAAAAAGAAATAATAGGTTTGGTGTTCTTTGAGATGATAATTGAACTTTACAATAATTATATACCTACTCATATTCATTTTCAGTTAAAGACAAAAATATTTAGCAATCTATTGTCTCATGACTGAATTATTAGTTTTTATCAAAATTAGTAAATTTATGAATTTAGTAATTAAATTCACACTAAGCAGGTTCACTGTGTATGGATGAAAGGAATAAATCAAATTTATTAAAGAGATAAAAGTTATAAGAAGATAGAGAAATTATAAGCAAAATTGATTATACGTATAATATATGTGTGTGTGTGTGTGTGAAATTTAGTTTTGCATTTAGTACAATTGTTTTCTTTCGTTTAGTTCTTATTAATTTTATAAAGTGAATATAATATAGGCTTAAATACATTTTCCTTAATTAGAGAACGGTTTCAGTTCATCCCTTGTATTCACGAAATAGATAAAATACCCCCTAAAGTGCAAAGTTTTTTCTGTTACCCTCACTTCTTTTCATAATTTCTGATCTCTTTTTTCTTTTTAAAATTTTCTTTCATTTTTAATCATCAAAATAATTTTTGGAAATAAATTATTTATTACCTGCAAATCAGGTGTGCCTTGAGCACTAGTGTTTTATAAATTTTTTTCCCTCTTTAATTCATGCTAATGAAATAACAAAAATGCCAAAAGAGTCTTCTAAACATTAATATAACTTCGAAAGGGTTGAAAAACATTAATTAAGATGTGGGATTATCCATCAAGCATAAATGGTCTGATAAATAAGAAAAAAATCAAATGCCCACAACCGTTGGATAAAGGTACTTGATGAGGGAAGAAAATAAGTGTATTTGAATAGAGTATTATTTGAAATATTATTTGGAATAATTACTATAACACTTTTGTGATGTGATGTATGTGAAATAAAAAGATAGTTAAAAATATAAAAATGTAGATTGAGAAATGTATTTATGATACAAGTTTCAACTATTGGAAAATTGAGCATTTAACTTGTTCTCGTTGACTCGTTACAGGTTGCAAGTTTGGTCGTCTTGTTAAAGAGTCTGGTCTTTGTAAACTATTAATGCAGCAGGGCGGTATAATAATGTTGAAAACGAAAGAATTAACACATTCAGTGAACCAACCGTCAAGATTTAAGAAATAGTTTATTGACTTAAAAATTTGAGAGAAATGCAGTTTTGATCCTCAATGTTTAGGTCGTGTGCCAAATTGATCCTTAATATTTCGATCAAGACAAGTCTGGTCCCTAAAATTTGTGATTTTAAATAGATTTAGCACAACAGACGGAAATAAAATAATAACTAACTGTCACCATCAAATTGTCATTAGTTAAGAACTTTGACTTTGCACTTTTGTACATAATCCACACTACAAACTAGACGTTTCTTGGGTCAAATTAAGACCGAACCAAAAATTTAGCTGGTCAAAATGTAATTTTAAAAGCTTGATATTTTTCGCTCACACAATTTCAGACTTGCAAATTGTTGGCAGTGTTCTCTCCGATTCCAACCAAAGACCACAGTTGCAACTAAAATAGAAAGAAAATTTTTTGTTTGTTTTACTAAACATATATCGGTCTACAATAGAACAGTAACTTCAAAATTGGCAGTGACGGAACAGAATTAAAAATCCAGGTATTGAGACAAAATTTGCATGAAATGGATATTGTCAGTCAATTGCTTGGTTGGGAACAAAATTTCATATGGATGTAGCAGGACAATCTTCAATAATTTGAGCGGTTTTATGTTGGTTGACAAGTGCAATCATAGAGACGATTTAGTAATTAAGCACATACTAGGTGTCATTTCAAACTGTCAAGAAACTTTGCTCGCCTTGCTCAAATTATAATGTATTATTTTTGCCAACAAATACGAAGCAAAATTTGTTAAGTTGCAATTTTTAGGTTCAGACTTCAAGGATGGTAATCAAAAGTATAATTAACTTTGGCTAGAGATAGCAAATCTTGAGTGCCAAATACAATACAATACAAAATATGTTGAGGTAAAATTTGTAGATCCGACCTTCAAGAATGGCATTAAAATGATTAATTTTTGGCTAGAGATGTTATCTTGAACTTCCTTTTATACACTAATAAAGGGCACACCCCCTTTTTTTTGCCACTTTTTATTAATTATACTCTTCACATGCAAAGTATTCATAAATTATGGTAGTATTGAGTTAGTTTTTTCTTGATTTTGGCACATGAAGACGCTGTTATATGGGTAGTAATATTGTATGCATGATAATAAGACCAGCGAAAGGAATAAGCACATGATAAAATGGGGTATAGTTGATTGCTACATTAGAATAGTAGAGAAAGTAATTAAATGGGGTATTTTAGGGTGTGCGAAAGTAAATGATAAGCACACGGTAAATTTAGAGAGAATCACAGTCAACAAAGTTTGTATCATGAATATATGGAATTATTGTCATATAGTTTACACGTACCACTCTTCATATGCTTACGTTCACCAAAGCTTTTAGCTATGATTTTGGCCTATTATTTCTAAATGCATTTTGGTCTAGCAGTTGTTCATCTAAATGACTTAAAGATTCTTTAGTTTACCAAAAATAATATTGTGGATATTACTTGCTTAGATGCTAAATTAAGTTATGAATTGAGCACAACCAAAATTTACACACAAGACAGTTTAGACGGTTAAAAGTTAGAGGCTTTTTTTTTTTGTATTCTAAATTTTCTTTTCCCTTCTTTTCTTCCTCCTCCATTGGAGATGGCTTTTTATTGTTTGTTGGATGGATTTGGTTTTTGGTCTAATCTCACCAAACAAATCAAACACAAGCAACTTAGTCTCCTTTGCACTATGGACACTTGATCGTTCTCTTTGATATTGTTTGAGTTGCCTTTTCAGCTATTTGATTAATTTGTTTATTTACTTTAAGTCATTAATTATTGGTTTTCAATTTTAGGGTTTTTTGTTTTTCAATTTGTTTGCTTGCCCTTAATGATGGATTTTAATTATTTTATTATGCTATTTTAGTTACAAATAACTTTTGTAACGGTTAACATGATTGATATTCATTCATTTATCATTATTGGAATGCATTACCATTGTTCAGCGGAGGATAATTTAAGTATTTAAAAAAAAGGTATGACAAAATTCTACTTACACTTCTAGACTCACAATACCTTTATAAAGAGTATAGATGGATAGGTGTAAGGATTCGAAAACCCCATTTTAACTATAGGTGTGGGGATCCTATTGCCCGATTTACAGCTTAAGGGAATTTGAAATCTCTTCTTGGTAGCTAACTTACCAAATGCAAATTGGTTTGTGAAATTTGTATATCGCAAGATAGAGACTCGAGAAGCCAAGATGTTGCCCTACCAGCGCCAGATCCAAACTAGGTGTCTAATTGGCCTCTACACTCGCAAGATAGTTAGATAGAGTGTAGAGGCACCGCCCGGATCCATTTCCCACCATTATCAATCATCAACCGAATTCTTTAAGAAAAAAAAATTGCCTATAATAGACGCCTTGAACATCACCATCCCTGTTCTCATAAAATAAAACCTTAAAAAAAATTGAATACATGCCTCCAAGTCTTTCAATCATCATTATCCCTGTTCTCATATTGTGTTTGTCAACATATCATCAACAGATAAATCGTTGTCATGGTGCTACTATCTTTACCTCTCTGGACATATGTATCTTTTCGCATTATTATTTCACATCCGAACTGTCTTGTATAGTATACATACCTTGAATATGCAATTATTACCCAAGCCATCTGCTGTTTGGTAAGAGGGGATTGGAATTAGAAATTGAAAAAAAAATCCAATATAAGTTGTTTGGGCTACAGGTATTGGATTCAAAATTTTGGAATGAATTACTAAAATTTGGGAGTTCTTAGTTCCTAATAAATTGGGAAGCTTTGGTGGATTCCCAAATTTAATCCATGTGCATGATTTAAAAATTAATATTTTGCACTTTCCACACCCTTTCCCTCACGTCATTCTCTCTCCCTCCATCTTTTCTTCCCTTGGTCCCTCGCAGCTTTCTCCCATGTCCATGACTCATCTTTCTTCTTCCTTCTCTCTCTTTCCCTCGTACCTCAATGGTGACCCCTCTATTTTCCCTTCCCTCTTTCCATAGTAGTCCTTCTCTCTCCCATTCCACCTTTCTCCCCCTCTATATAGTCCATTTTTTTCCTTCCATAACAGGCAGCAAACACTTTGACTCCTCTTCCTTTAACTGACTCAACTTGGTTTTTTTTTATGGGTCAAGTGTATTATTTCGATGAATTAATCTCAAATCTGTATATTTCTAATTCCATTGAGTTTGGAAGGAAAAAATTTTTCTTTCCATCACATTCTTTTCATTCTAACAAGAGATTTGGTGACGGAGGTTTGCTGGGTAGTGTTTTAGTAAGAGATATGGTGGTGGGGTGAGTACGAAAGAGTTAGACATAGAAGAAAAAGATGATGAATTGATGAAAAGGGGAAAAAGAGGACAAAATATAGGTAAAAAATGATATTAAATTATGATACCTATTCCTTACAGATATTTGCCAAACACTAGTTATTTGAATGACATCCTCACGAAGAACTCGTACCAATTTTTTAGAAATGATTCCAATTACAATTCGGATTCCTTAGCTTGAACCAAATGCCTACTAAATCTGTAATTTTAGAACTCAATATCAAAATAGCCATGAAAAATATTTACTACTACTTGCTTCTTGGATACTTTTTGTCAAGTTACCTGTCAGCTTGCTCAGCCAGGGCCACCACTACCAACATCACCACAGATCAATCAGCCCTTCTTTCTTTGAGGGCTCAAATCACTTCAGACCCTCATCAATTCTTAGAAAACTGGTCTCCTACATCCTCAGTTTGTGAATGGGTAGGATTCGTTTGCCGATCTCGTCATCGTAGGGTAACTGCCTTCAACATTGCCAACATGAGTCTTACTGGCACCATTCCTCCACAACTAGGAAATCAATCCTTTCTTGTTTACCTCAACATGAGTCGAAACAATTTCCATGGAGAACTGCCCCATGAGTTATCTCAACTGTGCCGATTACAAGTTCTTGACTTTGGAGTCAATGATCTTGGTGGAGAGCTTCCTTCCTCCATTGGTTCCTTGCATAAACTCCAATGCCTGTCCCTCAGAAATAATAGCTTTACAGGTTCTATCCCACCTGGTATCTCTAACATGTCAAACTTGGAGATGTTATGGTTGTTGTATAATTCTCTTGAAGGGACAATACCAAAGGAGATTGGAAATCTACCAAACCTGAAGAACTTGTACATGTTCTATAATCAACTTTCTGGTCCTATGCCTGCTGAGATCTTCAACATTTCCTCTTTGGAAAGGGTTATTGTTTCAAGTAATAGACTAACCGGCGGAGCTTCCGATTGAGATTTGTCGCCAACTTCAGAAGCTGACATGGCTTGATCTATCAGACGACAGGCTAAGTGGTGGAAAACCATCAATATTGTCTCAATGTTCAAAGCTTCAAGTACTCAGATTGTCTATCAACAACTTCACTGCATCCATACCCAAGGAAATTGGTAGCTTGACGGAGCTTGAGGAACTATATTTGGACAATAACAACTTAACAGGTAGGATTCGTTCACATGCTTGCGCAAATCAAATTTTGAAGATGACAATTTTCTTTTAAAGATTTGTCTACGAGGGTACAACAATTTATATGTATAATTCCAATGAAAAAGCAAGCACACTAATATTTCCAGTTTTCCACCATGCTTAGAATAATCCTACTTAGATTTAAATTTCCAAAGCTATAGACTTTCTAATATAGAGAATTCGTTATCTTTAAGTAGTGACTTTAAACTTGTTAGGGGTGGCAATTTCCGACACGACCTGAAAACACAACACGAATCTAACACGAAATTAATGGGTTTGGGTTGAGGTTTCGGGAGTTCGGGTCGAACCCGAAAAGAAAACAGATCGATTTCGGATCAACACGTGGGTGACCCGATATGACCCGTTTACGAATTAAAAATTATTTAATAAACATAAAAATTATTTTATCTAACTAAGCTAAGTTATTCTTTTTTGTCAAAGGCATTAATTACTTAATCCTAAATGAATTTATTTAACTTGTGTAAAGTTAAAATTATTATATTTGGACAAATAATATATTATATTATTTTTTAATTTTATACTGTTTTAATTTATTTTAAATTTGGTTTTGGGATAAAACACTTTTACGGTGTTTAATTTATTTTGGATTTAGTTTGGAATTATTTATTTAAATTTTTATTACTTGATTATGTAATTAGTTTTGTGAGAAATTAATTTTATTAGAAATTACAGTACTAAATTAATAAATTAAAATTAAGTTTCGGGTCATTTCGGGTTCACCCGCCAACCTGCCAACCCGAAATTTTCGGGTTCATGTCAGGTATCTTGACCCGTTTTGGGTTGGCGGGTCAGCGGGTTTTCTGTTATACTTGGGTCTCAATCCGACCCGTCAACTCGAATTCGACCCGATTGCCACCCCTAAAACTTGCTACTTGAGATGCCCAATCTCTGCCCTTTGAAATTTTTTCATAAAAATAATTAAGTGGGATTTTGTTCATTATATTATATTCCATTTTAAAGTTGGACTTCCTCGGTGAATTTTACTCAAAAAAATTATACTCTAAACGATATAGGACTAATACAATACATACAGATCAAAAATAAATAACCCACCTCCTGATTTTTAGGAGTTCCTATGTCTAAGCATATCATGTTTTTAAAATCGATTAGTGTAAGTGAACTCTTTTACTTAAACGCCTCTCATGAGACACTTAAATTTCTATTGCATATTTTATGTCTATTCACTTCATTTTTATGGGTTTCTGATGGCATCAGTAGATGCAAAAGGAGAGATGAGTTTCCTTCTTTAGGAAAAGAAGAATTTACTTGAAAATTTGGAACTAAAATATGTGCCTGTGGTTGGCATTTCATAAAACTATTAAAGTTATGTGTCCTTTCCAATCGCATTTGTAGTTTAATAAACCTGTCATATGTTTCCTTTTCATTTGCTGAGGACCATTTCACTCCAAAGATTTAACAAACATATTATAGAGAGGCAACTTCCAAATTGCTAATTAATGCAAAAAATCTGTAGTTTTGGACATGTTGGATTAGTTTGGTAATATGAAAAGAAATGATATTATATTGGTAATTCAATAAACACATGCAAGAGCTTGGGCGGTCACATTAATAAACATGTGCTAGGCTTAGGGTATTCTTGGCTGGCAACATGCTTTGAAAAGCATGCGGCGGCCGCCCTCTCAATGTTCACAATAGGTCATTGACAACATAAAGTCATACCTACCTACGTTCCAAATCAAAATAACTTTGTCCAAATTTTCACTTGAAAAATAAGGTTTAGTATAAAAAAAATGAGCCAATTACTTAGAACACAATTCAAAAGTTACGACACAATCTATTGCAAAAATTTGTTAACAATTAATGTTAAATTCTTAATCTATCGATGGCAAAAATTCTTGTTACGATCATTTGCCTTAGATTTTGTTACGTAACTTAGTGTTTTGTGTGTGTGTGTGTTTTTTTTCTATAACTAATAACTTAAGATAGCAAAGTGTTAGATTTGAAGCTTTGGAAACTAAAATGAGGTTATTAAGTAATCATTAATTGTTATCGTTAGGAAAAAAAAAAGTAATCATTAGAGTTGACTCAATAATCAAGAAAGGGTTCTTAGAATTTTTTTCGCTGTCAGATTCAGAATTCGAATCATAATTTTAACAGTTGAAGATAGAAAGGATAAGAGAAAAGGTGTATGATAAAAGGAAAACAAAAAAAAAAGTATTCAAATATATACTCCCGTCCCACAAAATTCATCACTTTTTAAAAAAACCAACTTAATGTGAATAGTCTCTAAGATTGATAGCTGTATGCTTGAACTCCCCTTTTGGACCTCGTTTTTCAGTTTGAGTTAACCTTGGATGTCCTTAAAACAAAAACAAAAAAAATAAAAATAAAAATTGGGATGGTGGTACCTTATATAGTCATGTGGGACTCACCACCTGAAATGACACAACACTTTGTTGTTGTTCGAACGCCACGCTGCTCCTTTGGCCGGGCGTATGTCACATGCACGAGATTACACAAGTCAAAGTGGTTTATGGGCCTTTATACAAAATTGTCATTGACTTCTCATGTAATGGTATTCAATGGAAATGCATGAAATTCTTTTTACTAGTTTAGGTAAATGAAAAAAGTTTTGGGACATTATAGCATGATACTTTCAGTAGGATAGAAGAAGTATTAAAAGTTAAATAAAGAAAGGTTAAACTACGATTAGGTGATCAAACTTGTACTATGTCTTTTCTTTGATAAAGGGGTGGCACCAATTAGTTTTTTGAAAAATGCAAGCTATTTTCCTTCTTGTTTGCTAATAAATATTCAAAGCCACATGTTGGTTGAAGATTGCCGAAACTTATGACTTTTGTGTCCCAAAATTATGACTTGAAAATTCAACCATCATGGCTTGATTGTGTTGACCAAAATAATGGCTCCATACCGTGTACAATTGTATTTTGTATCTAGCTAGATACAAACAAAAGTCATAAGTTTCGACAATCTTCAACACGGTAAGGAGCCATAATTGTTGAATCTTCAACACCATCCAACTTTATATTTTGCTAGAGACTAATCAGTACTACTTTTTTTTCTGTCAAAGATAAGCAATTAAATTAGATTAGAACGCTCATAGAGTTAACGAAAAGACTGGCCTAAGCAATCTAAGAAGACCCACCAAACTAATCAGTACTACTAGTTACCAACTTTTTATATTAAAAATTTTAAAACCACCATTGACAGTGAATCGAGAACCTCTAGAATTAACAGTGATAATTGCATTATGCAACATAAACATTAGGAGATTAGATGAAGTTGATAAAATAATAAGTGTAGAAAGTAACACAATAAACTTTTTTTCCTGAAATTTGTGTACTAAAATTATATTAGTATTTATATTTGTTATTTTAGAATTTATATTTGTCTTTTTTGTGTCTGCATTACACGGTGCATTTGTCACTAACAATTATAGAGGAGTATGATTTGAAGACATTAGCCTTTTCCGTTAAATGTTTTAGGATCCTACAATTGACAATTAAAATGTAAGAGCTATTTATTCAACTAAGCAACTGACAGACAAGTCTTTCGAACGAAGATAAAGGATTATTTAGTTACTTGCCCCATTGTTTTTTTTTTCATCTTTTCAATTCAAAGACATCGATTTACCTGCAATATTTTTAATTGGAAATATGGAAAGTTAAGTGATTCTGATCTTATAAAAAATTCTCAACCATCAATTCTCCTAAACTTATAGTTATTCTATTTTTCTTATCCCTAAAATTTGAATTTATCCATCCTAATTTTTTTACACTTACACTGTTTTCTAGTATCCAAGCGATAAAGAGTAATATATTGAATATTCATATGTATATATAACTCTCAAAATTACAGTGCCTATAATACTCTCAAGTATATTTCGAATATCTCAAGCAATGAAGGGTAACATTTTAAATATTTGCATGTATGTGTAACTGTAAAAAATACATTGCCTATGATGCTACTAGGATTTTATTTAATTTTATTGCTATACATTTTCTAGATGTAGATTTAAGAGTTCAAGTGTATTTTGCAGGTGTGATTCCCCAAGAGGTGTATTTATAGCTTGGCTATAACCAGTCGATTGGTGAGATCCTTTTCTTTTGTACACGTCTAATTTTCCTTTGCACATTTCATATTTTCATCACTCTATTTATTGTCACTTGGGACCTCAAATTTTTGATTTTACCACTTCACATTTTAAAGTTATAAACTCAGCCCAATTCACCCCAATCCAGCAACTTGTCCAAGAAACTAGGCAAACGATATGTTGATTCCATTATAAAAATGTGAGAGCACTGTGCTTTAGTCTACTTACGTTAGCAACCTGAGCAGTTTGGGCGATTTGAAGGTTTCATAATTGAAGTGCGGAAATATATGCAACTAATTAACAGTTAATCACAGAAGAAGAAGGTACTAATTAAGCCAGGATCACTAGCTAATGCCAATCTAATAGATTAGAAAAGAGCTGTATGTTTTGTACAATGGAGGTGTAAAGTCAGAATTAGCCTAATCATCATGTTGCAAAATCGATTTAGTCCTTGTAAAAAGGCAAACTAGTCTCAAAAAGAACGCTATATAATTGATTGAACATGTTTAAACCTGCTTATTCTGCAGGTACAATACCACAACAGCTTGGCAATCTGCAGAATCTAGAAGGGCTAAGTCTGACGTTCAATAAGCTTGCAGGATCCATACCTGTTCAACTGTTCAACATCTCAACGCTGCAAATATTGTTACTTCCGGGCAATAATCTTTCTGGAAATCTTCCATCAACAGTGGGTTCTGGATTAATCAATCTGGAAAAGCTTTATCTCGATGGGAATGACTTTGAAGGAGTGATACCGGCCTCGATATCAAATGCATCCAACCTAGTATGTTTAAGCTTGGCTGCCAACAGATTCAGTGGTCCAATTCCTAATTCTCTTGGGGATCTAAGACTTCTAAGAGAACTTAGTCTCTTCCAAAACAATTTCACAAATGATCCTTCGTCACCAGAGTTGAGCTTTATTAGTTACTTGACAAATTGCAAGAACCTAACAATCTTAATATTCGGTGACAAATTGACAATCCGTTGCACGGCATTCTTCCGACATCTGTTGGAAACCTTTCTACTTCACTTGAAGAACTTTACGGATATCATTGTATTATCAAGGGAAACATTCCTGAAGCTATTGGTAATCTGTGCAATTTATGGGTTTTAAGTCTATTTGGAAATCAACTGAGTGGACCTATTCCGGCCTCAGTGAAAGACCTGCAGAAACTTCAAGTTCTAGATTTGAATGATAACTAACTTGGTGGATATCTGCCAGACACTCTTTGTGGCTTAAACAGCTTATATGGTATGAATCTAGGCCAAAATTGAATCCAAGGATCGATCCCCTCATGCTTAAGTAGCATTACAACTTTGAGGGAGATTAGATTTGGTGGAAACTTATTAAACTCTACCATACCAGCAAGCTTGTGGAGCCTCAACTATCTCTTGCATTTGTATCTGTCCTCTAATTCCTTGAGCGGCTCACTACCTCGAGAAATTGAAAACTTGAAGGTAGTGGTGAATTTAGATTTGTCAGTAAATCACATTTCTAGAAGTATTCCAAGCTCAATGGGGGGTTTGCAAAGTTTATCTGGACTTTCTCTGGCACAAAATAGACTTGAAGGATCTATTCGAGACTCACTGTGGTCTGTATTATATAGGCTTGGAATTGCTGGACCTATTTAGTAACAATCTCTCCGGTTCAATCCCAAAATCCTTGGAAAAACTTGCACACCTGAATTCCCTTAATCTTTCTTTCAACAATTTAACAGGTGAGATTCCTTCTGTTGCTCCTTTGAAGAACTTCACAAGTCAATCTTTCATATCTAATTGTTGAGCCGCAAGGTTTGACTTTGGTGGTAAAATTTTTCATCCCACGTCGAAGACCAGCAATGGAAGCCTTCCCTCTTGATACCTATAAATAAGGCTTCCTATGAAGGAATCAATTGCACCACTCAAGAGAGCATTATATAGGCTATTAGTTTCTTGGGTCATCTATCCCATTTAGTCAAATATTTTAGGCTCTCTTGTTTTGAGTTTAGGAATATTTTCCAAACTCTTTTATAAGTGCCATTTTGGCCTAGGAACCACTTTCCTACGGCTTTTGTATTTCTTCTTCATAGTAGAAATATTGCTCCTCCTCCGCCCGTGAACGTAGGTCAATTTGATCGAATCACGTAAATTTTTGTGTCTTTTATTTGTTTTGTTATTTGTCTTTATTGGGTTGCCACAACCCTTTTTATATGGTCGGTTTTACCGCCTAATTATTATATGGCTGGTGTTTACCGCCTAACCATTATATGGTCGGTTATACCGCCTATTTTGTTCTAATTTTAATTTGTTTATTCCTAGATCAGTCCTAACAAGTTGGTATCAGAGTTAGTTGATATATTTTGCAAGACAGGTTCATTTGGTGGGGCCCGTTCATCCGGTGGGGTCCGTTTTACTTGGGCCCGCTCACCTTGTGGGGCCGGTTCATCCGATTGGGCCCGCTTATCTCGTGGGGCCCACTCACCCTGTGGGACCCGCTTATCTCGTGGGGCCCGCTCACCCTGTGGGACCCGCTCACGAGACTTGCATATCTGTTTGACTAGTTTTTTTGAGACAAGTTTCATGTTATAGATTTTGTGGCAACAATAACGATAACAGAAACGGTTATCGAATAATTCGACAGGAATGTCAACTTCGGCATGTGGCAGCTCAAGATGAAGGCCATTCTTGTTCAAGACGGAGTTGATTTGGCAATTCAAGGAATTGAGAAAAAGCCAGAAGATGTAAAGGATGCAGATTTCGCCGATATGAATAAGAAGGCTAGATCCAGCATAATTTTGAATCTCTCCGATGAAGTTTTACGGGAGGTAGCAATGGAGACTTCTGCCAAGGCTATGTGGGATAAATTGAAAGTCTTGTATATGAAGAAGACAGTCGAGAATCGGCTATATTTGAAGCAGAGTTTGTATATGTTTCGGATGTCTGAAGGTACATCTATACTCTCCCATCTTTGATAAATTTGATTCTATTATTATGGATTTGGAGAATATTGATTCGAAAATTGATGATGAAGATCAGACCAGACATAAAAATGTGGTGTGCAACTATTGTAAAAAGAAGGGTCATGTTATCTCTGATTGCTTTAAATTGAAAAATAAAGAAAAGCAAAAGGAGAAAAAGAGTGAGACCACCGAGGCTAGTATTGCAGTTGATGAGAATGACTGAGCCATTTTCTGTGCAACGAAAAATAATTTTAGGTCTAACAATGAGTGGATTATAGATTCGGGTTGTTCATATCATATGTGTCTCAATAGGGATTGGTTTTCAACTTATGAATCAACTGAAGGTGAAGTTGTCTTAATGGGTAACAACGCCGTTTGTAAAGTTATTGGCAAAGGCACAATCCGGATTAAAATATACGATGGTATTGTGAGGACGCACACAAATGTTAGACATGTTCTAGATTTGAAGAAAAATCTCATCTCTTTGAGCACTCTTGAGTCTATTGGGTGCAGGTATTCTGGTGGAGGTGGAGTTCTCAAAATCAATCGAAGTGCTCTTGTTGTTATGAAGGCACACAAATCTGGTACTTTATATATTTTGCAGGGATATACTGTTATAAGTGCTGCTGCTGTTTCAACATCATCTTTATCAGATACAGACATTACCAGATTATGGCATATGCGTTTAGGGCACATGAGCGAAAAAGGCTTGGGTATACTGAGCAAAAGAGAACTTCTTTGTGGACAAAATACCGGACCATTGGAATTCTGTGAACATTGTATTTTTGAGGAGCAGAAAAGAGTCAGCTTCAGTTCACCAGCAATTCACAAGACAAAAGGTACTCTTGATTACATTCATTCAGATCTATGGGGTCCTTCTCGTGCTCCTTCTAAAGGTAGAGCCAGGTACAGGTTGACTTTCATTGATGATTATTCAAGGAAAGTTTGGGTCTATTTTCTTAAGTATAAAAATGATGTTTTCCTAACTTTTAACCAATGGAAAGTTTTGATTGAGAAACAAACAGGAAAACTTATTAAGCGGTTGAGAACAGATAATGGCATGAAATTTTGTAAAGGTGAATTTGATAGATTCTACAAAAATGAAGAAATTGTTCGGCATCGCACTGTTAGAATGACGCCTCAACAAAATGGTGTAACCAAACATATGAACAGAACGCTTTTGGAGAGAGCAAAATGTATGATCTCCAATGCAGGATTGACAAACGATTTTTGGGCAGAGGCAATCAATATGGCCTGTTATATTGTCAACCATTCTCCTTCTGCATCTCTTGATTTAAAAACTCCTGAGGAAGTTTGGTCAGGTATTCCTGCTGATTACTCCAATTTAAAAGTTTTTGGGTGTCCAATATACATGCATGTGAATAATGAAAAATTGGAGTTTAGGGTTAAAAAGTGCATTTTTCTTGGGTATGCTTTTGGGGTGAAATGATACAGATTATGGTGTTCTGATCCCAAATCTCCAAAATTTGTAATCAGTAGAGATGTTACTTTTGATGAATTGTCTATGTTATCTTCCAAAAAGGAGTCTTCTAGTCCTTGTACTACTGATAGTACACAGAAGCAGGTGGAGCTTGATATTGGCAGTTCTGGTCCTTCTCAGACAAAATTTTCTTTTCATCAAATGCCAGTAGATGCACCTGAATCTACTGTTGAAGATAATTCAGATGAAAAGGAGTATTCCATAACCAGAGATAGACCAAGGAGAGACATTCGACCACCACAAAGATATGCAAATTTAGTTGCATATGCTTTGTCTGTTGCAGAAAAAATTGATGCAGTTGGTGAGCCTTCCACCTATTCAGAGCCTTTCACCTATTCAGAGCAAGAAACTGCTTCTGAATAGGTGGAAGAATCACCAACTGCATCAGTTTCTTCTGCAACAGACAAAGTATATGCAACTAAATTTGCATATCTTTGTGGTGGTCGAATGTCTCTCCTTGATCTATCTCTGGCTATGAAATACTCCTCTTCATCTGAACTATCTTCAACAGTAGATTCAAGTGCATCTACTGGCATTTGATGAAAAGAAAATTTGGTCTGAGAAGGACCAGAACTGCCAATATCAAGCTCCATCTGCTTCTGTGTACTATCAGTAGTACAAGGACTAGAAAACTCCTTCTTGGAAGATAATATAGACAATTCATCAAAAGTAACATCTCTACTGATTACAAATTTTGAAGATTTGGGATCAGGACACCATAATCTGTATCTTTTCACCCCAGAAGCATACCCAAGAAAAATGCACCTTTTAACCCTAAACTCCAATTTTTCATCATTCACATGCATGTATGCTGGACACCCAAAAACTTTTAAATTGGAGTAATCAGCAGGAATACCTGACCAAACTTCCTCAGGAGTTTTGAAATCAAGAGATGCAGAAGGAGAATGGTTAACAATATAACAGGCCATATTGATTGCCTCTGCCCAAAAGTCGTTTGTCAATCTTGCATTGGAGATCATACATTTTGCTCTCTCCAAAAGCGTTATGTTCATACGTTCGGTCATACCATTTTATTGAGACGTCATTCTGACAGTGCGATGCCAAATAATTCCTTCATTTTTGCAGAATCTATCAAATTCACCTTCACAAAATTTCATGTCATTATCTGTTCTCAACCGCTTAATATGTTTTCCTGTTTGTTTTTCAATCAAAACTTTTCATTGCTTGAAAGTTAGGAAAACATCATTTTTATGCTTAAGAAAATAGATCCAAACTTTTCTTGAATAATTATCAATGAAAGTCAACATGTACCTGGCACTACCTTTAGAAAGAGTACGAGAATGACCCCATAGATCTGAATGAATGTAATCAAGAGTACCTTTTGTCTTGTGAATTGTTGATGAAGTGAAACTGACTCTTTTCTGCTTCCTAAAAATACAATGTTCACAGAATTCCAATGGCTCGGTACTTTGTCCACAAAAAAGTCCTCTTTTGCTCAGTATGCCCAAGCCTTTTTCGCTCATATGCCCCAAACGCATATGCCATAATCTGGTGATGTCTGTATCTGATAAAGATGATGTTGAAACAGCAACAACACCTGTAACAGTAGATCCCTGTAAAATATATAAAGTAACAGATCTGTGTGCCTTCATAACAACAAGAGTACTTCGAGTGATTTTGAAAACTCCACCTCCACCAGAATACCTGCACCTA